CAGCAGTATCGTGCACTCACTGTTCCAGAGCTCACACAACAGATGTTCGATGCGAAGAACATGATGTGCGCGGCTGATCCTCGACATGGCCGCTACTTGACAGCAGCTGCTCTCTTCCGCGGCCGCATGTCGACAAAGGAGGTGGACGAGCAGATGCTGAACGTCCAAAACAAGAACTCCTCCTACTTTGTCGAGTGGATCCCAAACAACATCAAGGCATCTGTGTGCGACATTCCACCAAAGGGACTGAAGATGGCCGTGGCATTTGCAGGCAACTCAACTGCCATCCAGGAGATGTTCAAGAGGGTGGCAGAGTACTTCACTGCAATGTTCCGCCGCAAGGCCTTCTTGCACTGGTACACTGGTGAGGGTATGGATGAGATGGAGTTCACTGAGGCTGAGTCGAACATGAACGATTTGGTCTCGGAATACCAGCAGTACCAGGATGCAACTGCTGAAGAGGAGGGTGAATTCGACGAGGAGGAGGGTGAATATGACGGATGACCAAGTGCCTAGTGCATTTGCGACCACAAGGGTCTTCCTTCTCAAGTGTCGACTTGTCTTGCTATCTGTTTCAACGCACTGGGGGAAAAGAATGATCGAAAGACAGCTCGTTGGATCGACAGACTCGTCGACCGACTCGCTCCGAAGAAAGAAGCAAAACACCCAACTGGCCAGCGACTTGCCAACGGTTCAGCTCACCAATGGATTTTTTTTGTTTTTAACTTCTTCAAGGATGGAGACAGCTAGACGATTGGACTGATTTGAAGATGTATCCAGCTATACCTGGTGAGGTTTGTACACCCCACAATTAGACAATTCCTGCCAGATTCTCTTTGGAACCTGCACCTACCACATATATGCTAGCGTTTTTCCACTACCCCAGCAAATGAGCTGTTTTTCTGACAGTGTTCTTTTGGAGCCAACCACGGACCGCCATTCGACGCCGAGATGGTGATGAAGCACGGCCATGTGGATCACGCGCACATGGCCTGCTTCGAGGCGCGGGTCCGTTTGGGTCGGTTGGAGGCTGGAGCAGATCTTCTGTGACCCAACCAGCGAAGAAATGAGGCGGTGCTTCCCCGAACCAGCTTTTGGTGGTGCTTCCCCGAATCCGGAGTCTTTTTCGACGATATAAGTACCTATACGGAGCATATGCAACATTTCTGCCTTTTCATCAATAAAACCCAACCGGGCCAAAGGCAGATATTTTGCATAGTTGGAAGATCTAGGTCCCTAGCAACAACGATATATGACTGCGGAGGTAGAGGCCGTCACAGTCGGCGTCCCTGGATCCCGTCTTTACGGTTAGCGATGCGCTTCTTAGTAGCGAGCGTGAGCTGTCCGTCCTGGCGCTACCTCAAGTCGGGCGCTTTCACCGATAGCGCGACCGCCAAAAAGCTGGGAACCAAGCGCAGACGGCGTCTTTTTGGAACGCCCATCGTTTACTGTTTACCTCGACGCGGACGTGGCCTTTCGCGAGGGTTTGCACCCCTCGAGGTGAAAAACCGAGCTAAAGATGGATATACCTTTTAGCACCTTGCCATCTGTAATTATTTCAGTGGAAGTACTCACCTCAATTCTTTATTTTTTCAAAGAACACATCACACAATTGACGATTGATATTATTTTAGACAGGGATCGGTACAGTAGTGGGGATTGAAGTCGTATTTCCTTGGTTAGAGTCAAAGAGTCAAAAATAATTAGGAAATTATCATTTAGAGTCTCAGATTGAGGAGTGTGCAGCGTGCATTTTCGCTTGTGCCGCACTTGTGCCAGATTTATTGGGTGAACCAAGCAGCCAACCACCTGAGAAACAATATTCAAGCAAAAGTATTGCAAGGGAGGGGAACTCAAATATATGATAATTGTATATGTGTCTATGTCCATTCCCCGGTAAATCTTCGGGACCCACCTCAACTTGCCCTCAATGACTATGACTATGACAGTCCGGACTCTCCGGAGGAATCTGGTGGACGGTACCCACCTCAGGATTAAAGACACATCACACAAGGTAGGTGGTGGACGGTACCCAACGATGGTAAGGTCTTTTTGCGTCGCGACGTCGCTTCGCGACTCGCCCCTGCGCTTCGCGACTCGCCCGGGACGAGTTCCGCAGCCAGGGCCACATCGCCAAGTTCCGCAGCTTCCTGCGCCGGGCGCTGAAAAGGCGGAGCTCGGACTCCGCAGACATCGGTGGCAAAGGGTGGCCGTAGAGGGTGGTTGATGGACATTTGCTTTAAGTTTTTTTCATTTTGCTTTAGGTGTGGAAGATGCTCCTCTCGTAGTGTTCTGCAGAGCTGAAGTGTTCATCGGTTTCCTCCGGCCTCGACGGCGAAAGGCACACCTTGGGCCGTCAGAGCCCCTATGAGGCAGTGCCACAGGACGTGTCGTCGATTGAGGGGTCGGGTCTGTGAGGACGACATAACAGTTGGTTGGGAAACACTCTAACACTTGACATGGGAAAATCCTGCCCTATGCCTTGATGAAATTAATTGGGATGAGTAAGAGAGGAACCACACAATCAAGAAATGATGATATACACTAAATGTTCATTGTGCTTGCCTTGTTTCTCACCAGCTCATCAAAGAACTGACACCTGCGGCGCCTCAGTTTTTCCGGTCTCCCGGGAAATCACAGAGAAACTTCAGTGGCAAACAAACATATATTAATAATTCATATATATATTTATATATATATACAATATACAATACCTCATCAAGCACTTTGTGCTGAGACTCGGTAGAGTAGTTGGAGGCCCCTGAATTAATTTGAACCCCCCTACCGACACATTCCTCCTATACTTGCAGAGCTTCGGTTTTTTTCTAAACGCACTCTAGACGTACTACTCTAAGTTAATGTTTTAAACTATTCCAGCCTCTCCTCTCCATTTTGGAGGGGT